TATTTGTGTAAAGTTAACTGTTGTTAACAATGTTCAAAAAATAATGTTTTTTTTTACTTTAAAAATATCGGGTTTTGTCAATAGTTCAATTCTGTTTTGTTTATCATAGTAATTAAGCACATTTTCAGATTTCATGGAAAGTATTTATTCTATGTACATTGTAGTTAAATAATAATAATATACATGGTTTTATTTAATTGGAGTGTGGTATAGAAAATAGATTTTCTCTCATTTCATATGATATGTAATCCCATTTTATGGAGGAGTAATTACATAACTCAGTCAATAAATCATATTTGTTCATTATAACCGTTTATGATATCGTAAACCTAAGTTCACTTACTAAGTTATTGGTAATTTATCATGTTAAATAATACTCAGTTTAGATTATGTTAAACTGACTATCAACTTGTGTGACAAAACATATATAAATCAGTGGATTTAGATAGTTTTGATTTATTTTTGATATACAATAAATCCTCATGTATCATCCACGTCTTCATACTTGCGTGGAAAGAGCTCCATGGTTCTCATTAGCCAGTACAAGTTCTCTGCAGTTTATGTCATTAATCCATCGTTGTGAACACCAACACGTTTGAAACGTAAGTCAACTGGTGTATCAATATATTTTTCCATCAGTGCATCAAATAATATTACAGTTCTTGACTAAAAAGACCCAAAATTTGATAAGAGTATTGTGATTACAGCTACCATCTTACAACCATTCTGACGGTTTATTTCATAGCTAACAGACTGAGAAACTAAGACATTAATTAAATATACTAGGTTGAGAATATTTCCTTTACGACTGTCAAATGCATATACAAAGAAAACTGGTGTACGACTTTACCTAGGTTGTAAATATTTTGTCTATTGAGTTTTTTCTACTCTGATAATCGATTCCACGCCTTGGTTATCAGTGCACGGTACTTCTCTAAATAATATACTTATCAATAACTTCAATGCAGGCGTATGTCCTATTCTTTGACCTTAGCCATCTCTTTCATCGTTCTTTTAACATCTACATTAAAATGTCAAGAAAAACAGACAAGATGAATCTTAGTTCTATTTGTAAACAGTTAATTTCACTAGTTTAATAATAGGCACCAAATGTGAATTGAAGTAACCAGTACATAAATATTATGCTAATAAAAATGAATACAACAATATCATATGATAGTTATATGACTAGAATTCACATCGCCTAAATATAAAATGATAAACGAAAAGTAGAATAAATGAAGGTTTTTGTTTTTATTAAGTTGCTAGTGACACTAACTTGGGTATATTTTAGTAAATAGTTAACATTAAAGTTACGATTTAACTCAGTGAGTTGTAGAAATTAGTTAGAAAATGGTTTTTATCGGTGACTGATGTCAGTTGGAGAACCACTAACATCAACACTCATCTATGACCCCATCAGGGATTGCACAAGGGTATTTAGGTCTTAAGATGATTAAACTGTCTTCAGACATACGACTTGTTTTCAGGATTTCATAATTTTGAATTCATTTTATTCGTGATAGGGCGCAACAGTTTTTTAATACCATCGGTGGATTATCGCCTCATTCTGAACATTGTCAACATAGATTCTTTCATACTATATTCCACCTTTTAGACCTCGCCTTCATGTGAAAGTGAAAAGAATTAAGTTTTTCCCTAATAACTATTTAATACTATGGATAAAAGAAAGCAAACGTCTTCCTGGATGACTGGCAAGACTATAATTATGGATGAACCAATCAAATTAAGGGCTGTACTTCTTGGATTTTGGCGCAAAATTTATTCAGTCATATAGATAAGTAGCATTTCGTTACTAGAGCTAATGTCAGTTTGTGATGAAAATACTTACTTTGATTCCTAACTCTAAATTCTAATTCTGATTCCTCATACTAATTTACAAACCCATTTTAACCCTAGAAAGTAAGTGGACTGTTTCAACGTCACTTTAGTGTCCCCAAAAGTCATCCATAAATTATAGTCTCACCGTACTATATATTCTATATTTCTGTAAGAAATATATAATTTATTATTCTATACTTTTAAATGTTGACTTCTTTTCCACTTCTTTTTTTTTCTTCTTAGTTTTAAATGATAAACCATTATTATCCTGATCATTTTCTTTTGTTTTATCTATTCTTCATCTGTTTGATCGAAAATGTAATACAATGGTTAAATATATCAATATATCAGATTTTATGATCAATCTGACTTTTCATTCGAATGAATATTGATAGGAGTAATACAAATAACTATGTGTGAATTGTTTGGTCACATGTTTAATATATGGGCATATAAACGCTGTTGATAAATGTACTGACAATAGTTCTATGTAGTGAAATCTTTACAAGATCTATTTATATCTTTGTTGATTGTATGATTAAGTGAAGCACTGAAAGTGTTTACTGTTAATAAATCTCGAAAGACAAGTAATTCTTTTATGAATAACATACGATGAAAAAAAAACTATTCACATGTACTAGAAACATCAATTGATTAACATGAATTTTATTTTCAAAGCTTATCAATATTTAGACTAAGGGACAATTTGTTGATGTTCTAATATTGAATGTTGTATTGATGTGAAAATATTTTAACATAATGTTACAGTGTATACTAACTCCTATAACAATGTATATAGTTATATCAGGTTTAAAAGAGAAATGAATGTTTTTCGCAACCGCATATACATTGTATTGAAAATTCCTAAAAACATACCTACTTAATATAAACAAGTCTGAAATAAAGAAAAAATGTTTTGAAATGGTCAAAATAAACTTGGTAGGATAATTTACTACCAATTTACAAAGTGATCTAATAAGTCTTGAATCAACTTGTAGATAAATACAGACATATTCCATCATCCAGGTGATTTATCTAAGAAAAAGGGCATGTATACTATCTAGAACAGTACGTGAAAAACAAATAAGATTAAGAAATCTCCTTAGATAAATATATTATGTATAGAGTGATGATTATATACGTTTATGTTTACAGACACGTGATAAGAAATAATAATTTACTTATAATATGAACCAGTGTCCTACTATTGTAGCCTTAATAAATTGACTGTAATTTTAAATAGCTCATAGCTTAGCAGTTATGTGAACATTATCAGCGCTTCTGAAAGACTATGAACTCATATTTTTCAAAACCTTTGCTGCTGATGATGTCAATAAAGATAGTAAAAGCTACAAAATTAACTTACGCATCTCAAAGAATTCATGATAATCAAAATTATAAGTAAAGAGTACTTACCGACAATAATTACAGAAGCAACCTCTGAACATTAAGAAGCATTACACAGTTGTTTCGTTTTAACATAGGACCCCCCTCCCCCAGATGTACATATCGAAAACCCAATACACGGTCGAATACACAACCCTCAGGTTTCAACATGAAAGCTTCAGAACGCTGGACCGGAATTCAATAGATTTTAATTCTAATTTCGATCAATTCTCAGTATGGTCCGGCAAGAGTGTAATTTATGGGCGAACCAATCAGATATAAAATGACAGATTTTGTATTTTGGTACGAAATTTATTCATCCATTTAGCCAAATAGCGTTTTTGGCATTTTAGCTTATGCCAGTTCGTGATGAAAACCGTAAATCTAATTCCTAACCCTAACCGTCAACTGTAAGTCATAGTTCTAATTCATCAAACTGGTTTATAAATCTCATTTAGTCCTAGTTAGTAGGTGGACATTCTCAAAGTCACCTTAGCGTCGCTCAAAGACCGTTCATGAATTACAGTCTCACCGTATGCTTCAACCATTTCTAAATCCCGTCAATCGGTAAATGTCTTACATCACACATATTTGAACATCATTGGTTACAGTTAATTACTAGAACTTCTGCAATTATCGGTTCAAATCAGATACTAGTGAACATCTGATATATCATTTATGGATCACACTAAAACACACAAACCATTGGATCTCGACTCAATAGTCCATAGGTTAAGTGTTCACCGTGAAACCTGAGCAATTAGTGTTCAATCGTCAATGGTGTCGTAGATGTGAACTTGTGAGGAGTCCAATACTAGAATAAAACATGTGTAGAAGTTTGCTTCTATTCGAGTAATCTTAACTTTAGACCTACATTCAGGTATAGTGATTTGAATTTATGAAACAACCTTATTAAGTTAATCATATTTGCAGACATTAGATTCTATATAAACCCTTTGAAGATAATCAGTTATGTGACTAATATATAAAGCTGGTATAATAATCTCCAAATATTTAATCCTACCGGTGTTGATTAATTTGAAGTGGAGATTTTTCTAGGTTGAAACGGTTTGATAGCAACTGGTTTATATTCTTCCTAAACAGTTGTTTGTTTCATTCTACCAGTATTCTATAGAAACTGGAATCAGGATCAACATTTTGTCCAGGTTCATACACGTAAACTATATATATATATAATTATACTTAAGATAACAAATAGTCTTGTTCAAAAATAAACACCAAAGAAAGTTCAGACACGGTCCACGAAACTTGTAACTGCCTCATTGAAAACATGTAACTCTCAAATGAACATCCTAAACTATAGAGCATTTCAGACCAAATGAATCTATTCGAATTATTCCGTCTTTTTAAAACTAGTGGTGTGTGCTACTGATGTCGACAGATATAAATAATATGTCACCAATAGAAAGTGGGATGCCTGGCGGCAAAAGGTAAAGAAGTTCGAGGAGAAGAGAACGAGAACAGAGAGTGATTGATATGGAAACGAAGAAACAGTCAAGTCTGAGACAATTGAATGACATTTTGCAAATGAAGTATTTACTGTAAGGTTCTCAGATTTTGTATGTGAATACATTTCATTATCCCCAGTAGTGTTCTTGTCCACTACATTATCATTAACGCATTTTCAACCGTCAAATAGAAATACCACTCAATCAATTCCTTATACCAAACAATATCTTAACTAGTCTGTTATCAATAGTCTACCAATAGACATATTTTCATGTTAAATAAAACAAGAAAAGAATACTATATGAAGGAATTCAATACCCAATTTTATTTATTATTGATGTTTCAATGATGATTTACGCATTTATATTGAATAAGAAATACTTAGGTTACGTATATTCCATAAAGTTTATTGTTGATTTCGGTCAATAAATTTGTTTTTCGAAATTCATACATAGTTCAAGTCATTAAAGTACAAATAATGACACGTTAAAACAAATAAGAAAATAGATTACATTTTGTACATATTCACAAAATAATGATAATCTGTTAGATTTTCGTCTAGATTATTATCAAATTATTGATTATATTATTTATTCTGTATACGTAATAATCATTGTCATTTTAAACAAGGAAAATTATATCCTTTGGTAATAATAATAATAAGTGTAGGTTATCAGATATACGCTTTTGTATTGATTCATCGGTTTAGTTATTGATTCACGAAGCTGCACGTGCAATACCAGCTATAGCCATAAACATGAATACAACATCCACATAAAGTTGCATTGCACCAAATATATACTCTTCTGGTTCAAGTTCAAATTCTCTTCCACCCATTATTAGTTGTGTATCGTAAGCCAAATACTGTGAAGAGTAATAGTAATAATAATGATAATAATAATAATAAACAGGATACAATGTAAAATAAATCTTGAAATGCCTAATCGAAATATAAAGAATAAACTACTCATTAATTTTCAGTGTTATATCAGCCAAATGTTGCAGAATCTATTGAAATCATGATATCTCCTTTCAAATGGTTTAAGTTCAAAGTTGATATCTCATTAGTAGTTATTGATTACTACACTGATTGTTTAGAACACAATCTAGGAACAGTATTGATCAATGCATATCATCAATTTGTTTTCTTCTTTGATAGTTGATCAAAGTACTTTTACTGACATATTTGTCTTATTATTTGAGTCGAAGTAAAATTAATTTATGCCTTCTCAATCTGAGTTAAAATATTTAAACAACGTTACATGTATAAATGTAATAATCTAATAGGACAAAATGGATTTGTACATGGATCATTGATAAGAAATAATTTCAAATTATTTTTAAAGCCCGTCTGTCTAAAAATTACCACTTTATAACAGCTTATATACATTGAGTTTGTGTACTTTTAATTTGGCTAAGCCCTTTTACTAACTTATTTAACAGACAGAGTCATTCGAACAACAATAACTTATCTGTACCACTGTACCTTTATTATTGTTTCGTTTGCATGAACATGTATGCTCGAGCATTGTTTACCACCTACCCATATATACATTGTGCTAGCTTTAGTGTTAGTTGTTTAAATGATTCCATGACGCATTCATTATATATATATATATATATATATATATATATATATATATATATTTATTTATTTATTTATTTATTTATTTATTTATTTATTTATTTATTTATATGTACATTTTAATCCTGTTCATTTGACTCGCTCGCTTGCTTGCTTGCTCTTCAGCACTCGCATATCATTCTTGCTTCGTATGCCTGTGGTTTTGGTGATCTGTGTGTGGTGAGATAGTAAATTTAATCAACGCTTCGTATTCGTCTTTGGATTTATACACCCTGGACGTTATCTAGTAACAGTTATCAAGGCGAGCAGTATACGAAGTTTAAGAATTATATCGAATACCGACAACCACAACTTTCTTCTGTAAATTGTATCTTATCACATTAGATAAATTGTTTAATCATGAAATACAAATTTTCACAATTTCTGTTTTAAAACATCAAGTTCATTTAGATCTTGTAAATCGATCACCTAACTATTATATTGTGTTGCTAAAAAGAAGAGATTAGTTATTTCGAACACAAACAGTTTCAATGTTTAATTGACTTTAGGTTTTAAGTTATCATGAATTGATAATCAAAACATAGTCAGTCAGTAACAACGTAGAACTTCGTACGTACGTACATCAGTTCGAGTTGCCATACCACATTAGCACAGAGATGCAGTTGTCGATTCAAATCCCGTAGTGGTAGAGGTAGTAAGAATATATGCAGTAATCGGGAAGATTAGGGTTTGGAGATGTTATTTAAAGAGTATAATCCAGTGAAATAAATATGGGAAGAGAAAAAAGAGACAAGGAGAATTCCGGAGATTAGAACTGAGAGAACACAAAGAGTGTATGCACCTGCGCCATTGCAAACGATTTTGAGCTATGCCATTCAGGGTCTCTAACCATCGGTTGCTATCGTCTCGGGAATCAAAACATAGAGTATATGACGAATGAACGTTATCGTCATTTTGAGACTTTTTCAAATTATAACAAATAAACATCTAAAAATCGGTAAACATTTATTGTTTACAAACTTGAGCAGAGCTATTAGAAGATAAAAATCTATGTTCCATCAGGTTTAAATTCATTTTCTATAATAAATGGAACACTATACGGTTTGGTATAAAACTATAAGTCACATTATAGATGCTGATCTGGAAACTTAATCTCATAAGTACAACATAGATTAACACACCCTAATGTATAAAAATCAGTTTCTGCATTTAAAACACTTACATAAATTCAAGTTACTATACCTGAATGTAGGTCTGAAGTTAAGATTATTCAAATAGAAGCAAATTTTCGATACTAAATACTTACATCATCCAAGTAGTTTTGATATTTTATATATTCACTTATCCTAGTTGACAAACATCGAAATTCAGGAAGCACTACACATGTTTTATTCACGTGTTTTATTTCACATCTACTACCCCATTGACGATTGAACACTAATTGCTCAAGTTTCACGGTGAACACTTAACCTATGGACTATTGAGTCGAGATCCAATGGTTTGTGTGTTTTAGTGTGATCCATAAATGATATATCAGATGTTCACTAGTATCTGATTTGAACCGATAATTGTAGAAGTTCTAGTAATTAACTGTAACCAATGATGTTCAAATATGTGTGATGTAAGACATTTACCGGTTGACGGGATTAGGAAGTGATTGAGTCATACTGCGAACTGACAGAAATTAGAATTAAAATCTATGAATTCCGGCTCAGTATTCGGAGTTTTAAGCTTTTATTTTGAAGCGTGAGTGTTGCATATTCGATCGTGTATTGGGTTGTTGATTTGTACATCTGAGGAGTCAATCTATTCATCATAGTTAAAGTGATGAGATCTTAGATTACGGGAACCTTTCAGAAATACACTCATCATAAAATATTAATTCACAGAATGCACAATTTTTCGATCGATAACTGAAAAAAAGAAGTTGATAATAATGAGCTGATATCAAATAATATATTTATTAATGAATAAAGTAACTTACCAAACCAAATAATAGGGTTAGGATACCACTATAAACGCCCTGTAGAATCTAGAAAAAAAAAACATAATTGTGTAAAATCTATTCATTGATAACATCACTGACCTATATATGTTCTCTGGTCAATGAGCCGTAAATTAGAAATAAAACAATCATTAAATTCACAAGGATGAACTTGCTTTCCAACTAACATTATTACTTACTTACTTACTTACTTACTTACGCCTGTTACTCCCAATGGAGCATAGGCCGCTGACCAGCATTCTCCAACCCACTCTGTCCTGGGCCTTCTTTTATAGTTCCATCCAATTCTTGTTCATTTTTCTCATGTCTATTTCCATTTCTCGGCATAATGTGTTCTTTGGTCTTCCTCTTCTCCTTTGGCCTTCAGGATTCCATGTGAGGGCTTGTCTTGTGACGCAGTTCGATGCTTTCCTCAATGTGTGTCCTATCCACTTAAAGCGATTCTTCCCGATTTCTTCCTCCGCTGGGATCTGGTTTGTTCTCTCCCACAGTACGTTGTTGCTAATAATGTCCGGCCAATGGATGTGATGTATTTTGCGTAGACAACTGTTAATAAACACCTGTATTTTCTGGATGATGGCTTTCGTAGTTCTCCAGGTTTCTGCCCCATACAGTAGAACTGTCTTGACATTTGTATTGAAAATCCTGACCTTGGTGTTAGTTGACAGTTGCTTTGAGTTCCAGATGTTCCTCAGTTGTAAATATGCTGCTCTTGCTTTGCTGATCCGCGCCTTCACATCTGCTCAGATCCACCCTGTTCATCAATGATGCTGCCCAGATATGTAAAGGTTTTTACATCTTCCAAATCTTCTCCGTCAATTGCGATTGGATTGGTGTGTGCTGTGTTGTATCGGAGAACCTTGCTTTTCCCTTTGTGTATATTGAGACCTACTGGTGCTGAGGCTGCTGCTACACTGGTCGTTTTCTCCTGCAAACATTATTATATCCATAGATAATAGAAAAAATAACTAATCTGATCAACATCGCATGAGCCTACCTAAACAAACACTAATAATATCAATACTGTTGTATGACTAGCGATACTTACATTTAAATTAATTTTCTAGTTTAGAGATTTCACTGTGTTGTTAGTTTGAGTTAGTTTAAGTCAAAGGTTTAACTGTCTTGACGGTATTGATTTATTTTGTAAGTCACTAAGGGTACACGTGTTTAACACCATGTTTTAATTTTTCTAGCATTTCATGTCAAGGATTGATTCAGCTAACATATACTAAGTAATGAAGATTCAAGTGACGTGTTGAGTTTTATCGTTTAAATCAAACTATCTATTTTCATCGCATTATAATGAATTCATGTGACATGTATATGTGCCAATCTTAGGATTAAAAAATAAGAAGAAAATCAGTATTCTGTACATTATTCATTCACGAATTGATCATTTGAAGCATAAATCGATAGTTAATCAGTAATAATATGACTGAATATTGTGTGAGTTTCTGTTAACAAACGATTTTGAATAGTCTTGACGTTAGATCAATGATCAATGAATCTACCGTTTAGTAAGCCGATTTTATAATTACAGAACTCAAGTGTGAAGTAATATAATTACTAGAAAAGTGACAAGTGTTTTCTATGTTTCGGATATATCTATCGCATTATTTTCATAATGCGTTAAATCTGAACTCGTAGGCATTTCCAATTAAAAATGATTTAAATGACATCAATAACTCATTAGTACATTTTAATTCTACTTAAACTGAATTAAAAATGTTTAACCCTTGACTGTTCAAAGTTTTAGAAAAACAGATGTAATTACCTTATTTGGTCCTAAAACAAAGTATACAATCATGATTGCAATCCCAGTAAGCATAACAACACAGCTAAATACAAATAAAAAACCAGAGCACATTGTAAAATCAAAACGTGTTTGCATTGCAAACAGAGTTATGCAGATGCATAGAGCAAATGTCAGTGCTACAGAAATTAAAGCTGCTTCAGCTCCGTAGAATGCACCAATTGAACCAGCCATATAAGATAATGCCAATGTCTATTTGCCGTAAAATAAATAAGCAAAGCAAAGAAATAGAATATTTGAAAATCATAAATAAGCTAGAGTAGTCATTAACAACATTCTAAGATGAAATGTTTGGAGTTATAACTGTTGGTAGGAGACTAGTGAGTAAACTTCTACTAATTAACTTCACTTTCAATTTAGTGTTCAAGCAGATTGATAAAAATATTTAAGATCAACTAAATCAATCAATGCCAAAATAATTGATTTACAATTTACATAACATTCTATGTTTTGGAGTTGTGGATACGTGACGCTGAAGAATCCCATGCTAGGACGAAACATCTGTCCAGTGCTTTTTATTTTTCAGTGATCGTTTAACTAAGAACGCTCTGCAACTTGAAGTACAAAATCTCAAAATCTCTATAAACCCGTTATACCTTATAACTATTTCAATAAACAATATCCTTTTGATCAGTATGATTTAGGCTTCATGAAAAAACCTTGTATTATCGTAAGTTGATTATTCTTATTTTAGATGTAATACCCAAGACAGATATGGGTTTTCAAAGTCTTTTAAACTGGCTGTTATGTCTTCCTAATGATCTTTTATCATCTGTCACTTAGAACATGTTCTGAATGTATTACTTCAAGATGATAGTCAGAAGTTTATCAGGTGAAATAACTTCATTTAAAAATATTGATTTCGAACATAATTCTAGATAAAAGACTGACTATAGATCACTTATCGGAGTAGAAAATCTGTTTTTCAGTTCTCATTTTTTCCTGAAGCAAAGCAGTGAAATGTAAGTGTGAAAAATTTTGATTATCGAACTTCGCAGAAATCGATAGAATTACTTGGTATTATCACAATATCAATTTATTGAATGTTTCAATACACCATATGGAAAAGTGCTGTTGGTATTTAGTGTTAATACAACCGTGCATTTCCTAAAAAAATGAAACTATCAGAAGAAGGAACTTTTTATCAAAAACGTTTACTTTGATTTTACAGAAGTCAGTAATCCAGATGTCTGTAATCAATACTATTGTATATTAAATTATCTTGATTCTTGATCTAGTTAACTAACAACAAAACTCTTTGAAGAAATGATGTCTTACTACATCGACTAACTTTAATACCTAAATTTAACAACACTATTTGATAAACACAGCCTGATGTAAGAAATAGAAAGTAATTAATTTTATGGATTATTACAACTTTCCACTCTAGTCTCGTATCCAAAACATCTTGGTTATTTAAAATGTGTTACAGATTGCTTGACTGGTCAATCGTAAATTTGGACCATGTGATGCTATTTCAAATTGGAGTAATATTTGTCTATTATAACCACTGTAACAAAAGCATACAAAAAAACGAGTATTCAATTTGATAGTCCTTTATTCATGTCATTTTCGATTTTGCTGGTTTTAGGTGTTTAAATAAATTGATAGATCCCTTTATTTTATCCTGTTCTAGTCTTTATAAAATAGCGACGTTGGGATGAGGAAATGATGGTCGGTGTAATTAACAAAAACAATGATATTCTTAATACAAGTTTAGATTCGCCTCAATATCCAGATTGTACGATTATTTCTAGGTACAAAAATCTTTTATATGTGATTTTTGTCACTAGCTGAGATGAATTAGGGTATCATCGAAAACTGGGGAGCACTGAACACCTGTTTCGTACTCATATAGAACCAGGCTGTCCTCAGTTTCTACCCTACAAAAATAGAATCCATACTCTTCAGGTTTTGAAGCTAGCACTTGTCCTAAGTTAGAATCTAGCAGTTCATGTTTCTAAATTTTGCCAATTTCAAATGTTTAATGGCTTCGGGACAATACATGTTTGGCAATATTTATCTCCTTGTGGTTGACACTTTAACCACAAATATTTAAAAGCTTCTCAGTTCACCATTTCGTCTGTTCTCATTACGGAAATTAATAACAAAGTTATAATTATTGGTTGAATATTTCAAGTAATCACTCCGATATCACTTACAGTGATAAAATGCTTCCTAATAAGACTTTTAAAAAGAAATACTAACCGAGTGAGTGGAAGCTTCAAAATATGTTCTATGTGAGTAAAAAATCAAACGGTTGTTATAAACTATTTTTCTATGAATTCGTTTGATACAAATACGCTTACTCTTCTAAGTATTAAACCAAAAACTCTATGATCTTAAGTAAGTGTACAGAATCTTATTTGAAGCCCCAAATCGCTCAAACCACATCAGTGAAGTATTTCTTAGATGTAAATCAGATATCTAAAGACGATAGTATAGAAGAATTTTGACTTCGTATATAAAAGCATACAAGTATTTTATGATTATACCAGTTACTTGAGATGATTGACATAAAGTAACCAAGTAGATCCAGGCAAGTGAACAGTTTATGGATGAGTTTTATGTAAGAAACACTAAGACATTTGATATAGTGAAAATTAAAATTTTCTGTTTGTTAGCTAACATGTATTGAAACAAGAAAATTGGAATATGATGTTGACAATAAGAACGAAGACATTTCTGTGCACTTTCTCAGAATTTCAGGTTTTATTATGTAAATTGGATTTTCTGAAACTTTATAATCGTTATTAACCAAATCATATAAGAGTTATTGATCAATTTACAATGATATTTCCCAAACCGTATCAACAGCTATCTTCAATTAAATCTTACTACATTTGGTTAAAACAGTTCCACTGATAATAAGTGGATGAAGAGCCAGACATACAATTTATCTTTCATACATATGTATACCAATGCATTACCACTACTGGGATTAATGTTGTCTATTATCCATATGATATTATTTTAGTAAATCTCATCAGTTACCATTTGACAACTTCGAACAATTCTCAGTCTTTAAACTCTAATTTTATTTTCTGTAGAGAAATAATTTTACGTTACATTTACTAACAAACCATTCAGAATATCCATAACCGATGAGAAGTGAATGAAAAAAATATCTGTTTATTTCAATAACATTGAAGTCCGATCATGGATACTTAAACTTTTTTTCTAAAATACCTCTTAAAAACACATACATTTCATGTGGTCTGTTCTGTGTTTCTGTCAGTTGATAACTAAAGAAAAGACTCAAAAGTAGCACTAACCCAAATCACTACTGACAAGATTGAAGAGATGATAAGAATCAATAGCTAAAATGTTTAGGTAGAAAGATTTGAGACTGTTTAATATAGTGAGACAGTATTATACTACAATATTATTCACTATTCTCAGTTCATTCACAGCTCCAGTTAATCAGCTTTGGCGATAAAACTAAATATCTGAGAAACATATATTCAAACACACTGGCTATCTATAAATTACTAATGTTAATCATATATTAACTTATAATAAACCTTTAATTAAATGCATACTGAATATCGAACTACCTCTAAAGCACAATATACTCCTATAGTTTAAACTTAGTTAAATAATTAACATCAATATTGTATTCATTTATTTTTCTAGGTGTTTAATAAAATTTAAACAAAAATGCTTCAGATTAACTTACAAATACAGTTAAGCATATATAATTTCCAGGGAATCTTCTACGTACACTTACAATACAGCCAAGTACCAAATACGTTACGAAAAATATTGCACTACATACAATCATTTAAAAAATAGTATTAGTACCTCGAAAGAACAAAATGGTAATGAAATCATGATATCGAAACATATTAGTTTTCTAATCAAAACTAATTAAAACCTGGAAGTCACTAACAGTATTCTCATCCCAGTTTCCCCCCCCCCTAGTAAAGAACATACTCTTATTGAATCAATCCATATATATCATTACAATTAATAGTATTCCTGAGATTTGAAAGTTTCTTTTAATATGAGCTGAATGCTTTGTCATCTCATCAATTAGATGTATATTTTCAAGTTTGCTTTTATTGATATCATAGGTTGTAATTCAACAACAATCAAAACATGACACTTCCCGATTATTTTACAATTGAGTCAAATATTTACTAATTGACCATACTTTTATCAACTGTTATCATTTTCGTAAAAAAAAATAAAAACTGCCCACCACAAGAACTACTAACTTTTGAAACTTAACAATTAAAATTTATGTATAAACTTACTAGGCTAAATAGTAGAACCATGGATTACGACGTACCCAAATCGTTACAGGTTTACTAACAGAAATAGATTAATTCCATTGAATATTATTACTTACACAAGGCAAAAAATACATACGATTCCAAATGTGAATAATAATTGCACACTAAGAGTAAAATATACCTAGATAAGAGAAATTAAATGAAAAGTTATGTAAATTTAATTATAATCAAAAATATTTAAAGAAAAGTTTAGTTGTAATGAAACTCCGCCTGGAGTCCCTCCGGGGGCTACTGCCGGTCCCAAGCCCGGATAAAGGAGGAGGGTTGGACATGGGGTTAGCGCTTCGTATTTTGAAGTACTATTCCTTTTAAATGGTATCAATTATGAAATTTTATTTGAATAGACTATCGAATTTAGTGGATTAGACCGAAATGTAAACTTGGAAGTGCACGGTAATCTTAACATCCGATAGTTAGATCAGAAATGACAATATGTTATCATAATCGGACAGCTTTCAATAAAAATTACAGTTAAGTATTTGGTAAACTTATTTTTTCCTTAGAATATTGATAGTTTGACCCGTGAAACATTCATAAATCAATTATCAAAATTATACTTAACTGAAACATTCAAGCAGTCTGATGAAACTAAATCTGCTGGAACACGCCAACTTTTTGTATATAACTTACATGGGTACACTGTTAACGAACGATTTATTCAAAGTTTTCATCTGAATGAAAAAATCAATTATTCGTCAAGCTAATGTCTTAGTCCTATAGTTATAGATTAGGATTCTTTTCTTCAATTGGTTTTGACCCAGTTGATAATTTTGATATTTCAATGTTCATGTTGTGTTTATAAAAATACATTTAGCTTTTAATTCATGTTGAATGAATCATTTTCCATGCAATTACCGCGAAAACACTTCGAAATAAAGTCAACTTTCATAACTTAAGATTTCAGATATGTAATTTTTTTCTTTATAGAATTTTATTAGCACTCACGGTATTAGTTTAAAACGAGTCTTGTGAAAATACCATTGATAAACTATAACTTGCTTTACGAATAAATGCATGACGAATATTTTTATCACTGAAGCTTGATGCAGTGAATTGATTCTCCATGCGTCCGCCTTCACCACCAATGTTGTTACTATTAGAATGTGGATTTTCATTATAATTTCCATATGGGTAACCATCTCCTCCTTTTGAAAACAACATTAAATAAAACATACACTATAAATATCTTTAATAATAGGTTTGATTATAATACGTTATAATGATCAGTATTAAGAAGGATTACATTTCTTTCTGTTTCAGAAAAATGATTACTCGATAGTAAACTAATTCATGAGATAATCACTTTCTTATACTTTGGCTTATTGAGCTGGACAAGCAATTTCATATCATCATTTAATGATTTTATGCTGTAAACCATCCATCAAGTCTGTAACATTCAAATGGCATCATCAATTCGGCCATATTAGCTTTTGCTCAAAACAAGCCTGCAAGCGATTACTGTAGTATTCCCTTTCGTTTAAATTCATTTAATCGTTTCTAGAAATCTTGTCATAAATTCATTAATGAGTGACAGAATATAATCAAAATAAAGTTATTCTGGACGTCCATATCATGTTTTGTAGCATCTACCAACCAGGCGTATAAGAAATGTCAAGGAAAATCAGTAAGCTCTACGTTTAACAGTCATACATTTTTGTTTCCAGCAATCAGTGAAGCACAGATTTCTTCTTAGTTTGAGTTACACCTTACTGTTGAGTAGAAATAGGTATAAAGTATGAACTAACTTGTCTCTTATCATCCAACAAAGCTATTTTTCAATACTGATTAAATAAAAGTTTTTCGATCTTGTAAGATTATCAGGTTTCATATATTTTATACATTCGTCTTTGGTAAATTTGTCAGAAAAATAACATCTTCACTTGTTGAGTGCAACATGTATGTTTCCTATTTTTTATATTCACACACAAAATATTTGTTTTAAGATACCTGTGATATTAGGTATCACAAATGCTTCAAAATGCCATCAAAAGAAGATATAAAATTAATTCGTAAGAGCAAGTAAAACGGATAGAGTGCAACTAGATACTTACAAACAAACCGTTAAGGCTTAGATAAATATGGGAATTTGTGATAACCAGTCTCGAGCTACATAACCCAGCCTTCCTAACTACTTACCTTTATCATCCCGAAAACTCCAGTAGCGAGTTCATTCACTTAGTTAAATTTATAGGGGGTAATTTTGATGAATGGTTTCCCGTTCTAACATTATTACCCCTTAACATATTTCCAACCTATTCTTATTTTATAGTATCAGTAAATATCAGAGAAATTTGTAGCCATGTGTGTAAAATACATGCACTAACTACAACAATGAATGCAGGTTCATAACTTTATCGGCTAACTAGACTTACCGTCCTAGAAACATACGTCTATCCTCTACAGCTAAACTTTGGTTGTATTCTCCATGAGTTTAATGAGACAGGCAATTTACAACTACCAACAACTTATCAGTTTGTTTTTTCGCTAAAATCACTAAACTAAGTCGTAACAGAAATGTCAGAAGTTATTGGAGAAATAAGTTTTATACTACATATAATGTTTATTATTTCATTCATCGTCATCGTCAATTAATTCCGGTATCATATCTACTTCCCACCGTATTTCTATTCAAATAGCTATGCATATTGTACACACGAAAATCGGTACACAGTATCTACACTGAAAACATGTTCTTCATACAGTACACAAAAAAATATTTTTCCTTATGAACAAAGGTGGATAGTGGCTAGCAGTGGAATCCAGGACGCGCGTTTTGTCCTTGTAAATTAAAGCAATATCGATGCAATACGCACAATATGCACATATACCAATAAGAGATTGATCAATTGCAGTCCTAAACATCAATGGGAAAGTCAAGTAAAACAATACCAAGTGAATTTTTACTTATGTGTTGCATGATAATAAAATAATGGAACGTTTTGGAAGTAAAAATTTTTTTGAAAATAAATCTCAAGAACTCAAAAATAATCTATTGTAGTATATTGTGCTTCTTTGCTTAAGATGTATGATATTACTGAGTAGGGTATTTATCATATGAATGAGTAGAAGATATATATCCACAGAAACGTCTGTTATTTCTTTAACGGATTATTAATATAATGTCTATAATTGTAATGCTATATTTCATTGTTCCCAATGAAAGGAGAAAAACAATGGATTTCAAGAGAAAACGTCAGAAAACTAAGACTTCTAGAACCAAATCAAACATTAGAAAGAAATTCATGTAGTAATACATGTTTGAAATACCATTAGATCAAATGACACATCAGTTCTCTTGAATCTAAATGTCTAAATATTCATACGAATATCCTAGATTCATCATAAATACGATTAAAAAATATTCTGTAAAAGTAGTAGAAAGTCATTATCGACTTCGGAATTTCAAACCACTAGACATCAGAAAGCTGGGGAACCTGCGGATGAGATTTCCTGTTATAGGACAACCTTCTTCAGAGTGAGTAGTATAGCTAAAATATAATTAGAGTACTATATATGATGCCTTGTCGATTAAAATGTAAAGATGAAACGAACACACGTGTGAAAATATTCTACTAATTCTTTCAAATCCTGTCTCTAAATTTAGAACTGAACAAGTTACGAATTTTTAGATCGCATTAATCTACTCATTAGTTTAAACTTCATTATCAATGATAATTACATCTCAAATGAATTCATCTTACCTTGCCACTGTGGACCAACATTAGGTGGATAGAATGTGGAGGTTGAGTTGGATATGGACCTTGTGGTGCGTTTAGGTGTGGTGGTGGTAATCCATATGGATATGTTGGTTCGTTGTATGGTGTTTGGAACCGCGGATCGGCCATTTAAAATAAATTCGATTTTTCTCCCTTCAGGATCTAATTATAGTAATAATTTTCTTGCATAAGGAATGTTATTGTAACCTTGCAGTGCATATATATTGGAAATTAGAATGAATTTAACCTTGAAATTGTTTATCGAAATTAAACTAATTCATATAAACCTACACCCATATGCTCTGTTTAAGGATTGGTTAATAAAATAGATCGATAAATCACCATGAGAACAATTGATCAACATATCTCAACAGTGGATTCAATTATTGATTTTAAGCTTATATCTCGTGTTTTAAATCCTTTTTTCTGTAACCTGTTGACCGATCTTTAGTTTTCATCTTACTTCAATCTTCATTTTTTTAGACAACGGAAACGGTTTCCAATCTACATTCAGCCTTTATTTATCTACCACAATACTCTAAAAATTCTGGAAATTGAAGACAATGAAAGACATATTGAACAAGTGAAGAAGAAGCCTAGAGCTCTTAATCAATTATAATTTTACATTGTTTTATCAACAGATAGTAATCAATGTCAGACTTGTCTATTCTTTATCACTAAGAGATAGGATAAAGCCGACATTGGTTACCATTCAATGGTCACTCTTAGTTCTATCGGAGTCCAAAAATATTCTAAATGGCTCATTTCAGTAATATTTTTAATACATGGATAACGCAGATATATACTGACGATGATAAGCAGTTAGCACAAACCTTAGATTCACAGCTACTTGTTGATTGCTTCCAACAATTTAGCGTTAAAAATCTGTAATTTATTAATGTTAGGTGGTTTTATGAAACGTGAGGTGAAATTTTACAACCTATAACAAATCTTTTGTTTTCTGAAATAGTTTAAGATGTATTTTTAAAGCTAATTTTTATGACCACATTCAGTATGAGAGTATTTAGGTATAGATGTCAGTAAACTGTGTTCTTTTTAATAATTATATAGACCTTTAAAAATATCAACTAAGTGAACAGAAAGAAAGATCTTTTGATATTGATGTTAACTATCAATAAGGAATATCATCAGAAGACTGGTAAGCATAATTAACAACAAAATTGTACTAGTCGGAGTCCTTATGTTTAATAAGAAACAACGATAACCGTGACTAAGTAATCGGTGGAGTCTGTTTGTGATCTATTTTGTACTTAGTACTTATATATATATATATATATATATATATATATATATATATATATATAATATGGAAGTTTCATAAAAAGAACTCCAACTGAAAATTAATCGTGTTCAGATGGAAATTTACCCAAATTGTCCGATTAGTTCCTGGTTAGTTAAACGTGATGATGACTGCACTTTGTTTAGTTAACAAACCTTACAGCCATGTGAACAAATATTTTGTAGAATAATTGTCATTATACATGATTTATTTACTATTAAAATATAATAACCAACCTAGCGTCTACAACAAAATGCCCACCCTCATTTATCTTCTCAAAATAACCCATGACATAAGTAATAAAGACATGTTTCAAAAATCGTGAAAATCACTGCTGAAAGCATTAAGAGGGAGGTTTAAATGGTAGTTAATGTATCATCTCCTCTACCTTGGAAAGAGACAAAATTTCAACTTCCTAGAGCAATCTTGTCACTACATGGAAAACCTGTAACTACAGAAATAGAAGCCACTTCAACAATTTACACTTAGCTCAAAGACTGCTCTTTGTATGAACATATATTCAGTTATTTTTATCGACAATACATTCATCTTTTCATTTATGCCTTGTATTGATCCAAGAATCGAAATGTTCTCTCGTCGAATGCTAATAATCGGGTTTTACTGTAGATCTTGTAGGTAAATTTGTCTAAAACGTTAAGCGTAGTGATGTCCTTTAAAATATTCCAATTATTTTACTACCAACCATGTTTAATCTTGAGTTTACTCTTTATTATCCAACAAACAGTCTGACAGATTGTGATCTGTGACAATCCTCTTTACTGACTATAACTAATTCCAATAGCACTCATTCATTGACAAAATGAAAAACAATATCTCAATAAGACTAACTATACATTGCTTTTAATGTCCTTTCAATTGCAAACTGATGTCAGCTAGAAGACTGCTGAAAACTATGAGATAATAAATCGATTTTTTTGTTTTAGTTTGGTATTCCTTGATGGTATGATTAGACCAACAACTTTAAAATCTCAAATACAGTGGTTCAAATTTACAATTTGATTCTGTTCATCAAACACCATAGTCTTTATTAAAGGTGATCTATGAATTACTATTTCACTTCCAAATTGATCGACTTTACAGGCTGCAGTTGTCTTAAGCTCCATGGCTTTCAACAGCTCTATGATGGATATCAACTTCTATCACTTCAATATACATTGTCCGTCTAATAATTATTATTATTCATAACTTGATCATCACTCTATTTCTTTATCAATCTGATAGTCAATAATTTAATAGTAATTGGTTATTTACTCATAGTGATAAAATCTTAAATAAATTTTAAAGTACCTCTAACACCAAAAAGTCTGAATATTTGAACAAGACTATAAAACAACAACTGATGTATATAATGAATTGATTATTTCAATCAAACGATTACCTTCAATTTTTAAATCTAATTTAAGAGTTTGTATTTGTTTAGAAATTGTAAATGGATTATTCAAACGACCATAATATCATAAACAGAACAAAATTTGTGTTTACAACAAAAACAGTTTCACATTAAATCAGCATTATATACTATGAAATTAAAACTACATAAAACTAGATCTTCATCGAAGGTACACAAATGTAATACAAATAAATAGAAATGCAAATGTATTAATTAATTAATTAATCAGATTTTGAAAGTTAACAGTTGCCAAAAAGTAGTTTTTAATTACAATATTCGAAATGAAATTGAACTACTACTTAAGTGGACTAAGTGAATTGGCTTATTTTTAATGACAACAAAAGTCTTCATTCATTTTAGCCATTAGTCGTTATTTATTTTTCATGAGGTTGCATTATCCTTAGAATAATAATGCATATCTTCGTAGTAGCTAAATGGAAAATGGGGTAAAAAACAACTGACTAAATCATATACTTCAGATAATAAATTATTTGTTGCCTCTGTATAAGGACTTTCAAGACAAAAAAGAAAAAACAAAGACCATCTTAACAAAGATTTACCTCTGGAGATAAAGGCAAAGTATTTTGATATTGTGAATCTTTATCGACTGAGATAGTTGGGTCACGTGTTACGTATCCCTGAACACAATTACCACGACGCGCAATGCTGACTAGTGTTGGAAATGGTTGGAAGAAAATTATGGGTGGTCAAACCAAAACGTGTCGTCAGTTCTTGAAATCCCTAACTTCTAGTCTTAGCCATGTTGGTAGATGCAGACTACTTGGTTTGGGTCCGCGTGACTATCGTAACCAATGGTTGGAGACTCTGAGTGAAATGGCTCAGAATATATCACAATGGCGTCAGTGTATACACTCTCTGTCTTCCCTTAAACTATGATATTAAAATTATGTCATATCTTTCTTCCTACGAACTAATTCTTTCTTTTTGTACTATATCCTTACATAAAATCTTTTCTTTATTTATTACACCATTGAGTTAACTACTTCTATGAATCCAGTGTTCGTTTTTCTGTGCTAATGAGTTATGGCAACTTGGACCGATGCATGTATGTGTCTGGTCCTATGTTGTAACTGACTGACTGACTTAATTTTATATACTTTAAAGAAGTGTCCGGTTTTAAATTAACATCTTTCTAACACTCACTAACATGCATATTAGTAATTTACACTTAAATTGTAAGAATAGTTAATGATTTAAACAAATTCGGTAATTGATTCAACTCATCAATGTTGAGCTACACATTCACAATGTAAATTATGTTCACTTATTATACAGTTCTAATGTTAACTTCATCTGTTACGAATTTCATTTTAACATAGTCTCAATTGTTAAACTCAAATTTAATTATAAAGTTTTATTCATCAAAATCAAAAATTTAATAAACTCAGTTTGCTATTGTAATTAAGTTAAATAGCACTGTGTGGTGTGTAATTTTATTAAAAACTACTGTGCCATCAACTATTTTTCTATCTTGTGAATATGTAATGGAATATCGTCAAAATAATTTCCAGTGCTTCATATATCAGTCATCTAGAGAATTGATATTATATAACTCCCAATGGTGTATAAATTTCAAAAGAAAATACAAACTGTTGACTATAGTTTGATATTGTATAGCACAGATCACAGAGCCACAAGCAAACAAAGCAAATATGAGTGAATACGAGCAAGCAAATAAGGGTGAATAAATTAATAAGATTTAAGAAGTACATATGTAGGAAAACAGCTGGTTCATCGAACAATTTAAGCAACTAACAGTTAAGCTGTTAAGAGGAGTATGTCTGTAGACTGTAATACATGTCAAGCATACATACTCATACGGATATTAAGAAAAAATACAATAATATAGATAGATCGTTACTGTTCGAATGACACTGTTAAATAAGTTAATTAAAGATCCTAACAAATTTGAATGTATACAAACTCGAGTGTATGTGATATGCAATAGATTTTATAAACGAAGTTGATCTTTATAAAGAAAGTATAGTATTATTCTTTAAACGACAATAGCTAAGTTGTAAAGATAACTCAATAATGTAAATAAGTATTTTAATATCGTTTATATAAACTATGATGAATAACGTCAAAATAATGGATTGAAAGAATGTTTGGAATATTTTCATAATACTCATATTCAAATAGCGTTGTCAATTTTGTTTTACTTTATAGTTAATTGTTTCTTTTTAGCTGTATTACACGAACAAGAATACTGGAGAATTACGAACTTCCATAATGTTTTGCTAGGTTCTTGTTTTTTTACTTCATCTGTATGCTTGTAGATTGTGTTAGATTTTGCTAAACTGTACAGTACATAATCTTAGACTTAGTCAACTAAACCTTTAATGAATTTCTCTTCGGGATAAAATAATTTTACATCTGGATTTAAATATAGAAGCATATGAAACTGTTAAGCATGAGATGATACACTATTATCATCTTTCTTTCTGTTAGAAGAAATATTAACCTTGAACAGTTCTTCATTTTACTACAAATAACAATCCAGTTTTTATTAGTAATTTAATGAATA